AGAAGGTTTGGCCACTCCAAAAGGAAAAGTCCTCTCGACTCAGATAAAAGGTGAAGTCAAAACTATAATCACCGAAGGTTTAAAATGGGCGGTACATTGCCAAACCTGTACTCAGATCATATTTTGTTTAAATGACTGCACATTGAACAAGAGAGAACGAAAATAAGCAAATGAATCGTTCACGCAAAGCAGCTAGAAATACTTCTTTTAAAACGAGTGTGAGAAAAGCAGGAAAGAATTAATTAAAGATAAAATTGTAGGTTAACGATTTCTAAATGAGGAAAAACAGTTGGATACTAAATAAATGTAAATGTTGTGTCTTCAGAAAGACGGCTCGGAAAGGTAAACTGAAGAAAATACCAGCCAATAAAAAAGAAGCCCTTTACATTGTGTATGAAAGAGAGATGTGACAACCACAGATGTGACAGGGGGTTAACAGTCACAGGCATATGCCGTCACCTGGCACAGCGTCTAGCGGGGCCCTTGACACAAATAATGAGGACCTTCCTTTTCGTGCATTCACAGACCCCGGCCAGCCAAAGCGCTCGTCTATAAAGTCATTAATATATAATTCAGTGACAACAACATCATTGTGTCATGCATGGTGCTAGAAATGTGAATCACCAGAAGGAGAGAAGGCAGGGACTCGATGTTTTGGTCGCACATTCTACATACCAGCTGCTTTACATCATTTTTGCTCAGTCGCTTCGGCTGTGGAATCCTCTCCGGAGGGATAACCCCGTTGCCAAGCCAGGGACGTTGAGACGCAGGGAGGTGAGTCAGTTCGCTCATTGTCTGGGAACCCTTCGTGCGATGCAGTCCCCCTTTGCATATGGGCTGAAAATATTTATCGGTCCTTTATTTACCTACATAAGTATATGCTTTATAACTTGGGGAACCCGTAGGTAGATATTGAGTGAATGCTCCCCTTTTAATAGATTGATCCCTTCAAGAATTACTTCTTAGGAGGTCCATCCCCTTGTTGGTATAATGGATGCATATTTGCAGTAAACCAACATTCCTAGTGAAAGCAACAACCAAGAAAAAAAGATTTTAAAAAGGCATGTGAGCTCCGTGAGTAGCTGTCTAATCTCTCCTCCATACTCTGCAGCCTGTGAAGGAGGCTTCTCTACTCCCATGAGCAGGCCTTTCTCGGAGACTCCCACCCAGGAGCTGCCTGGGGTCCCCCCTCCCTGGCTGGGAAGGCCCTCGGCTCGGAAGCAGGCAGCGAACAGCCAGCAGGAACTGGGGAGGCTCACCAATGACACTGCCACAGTTGTTCTCATTGTCCTGTCGTTCCCCAGATGGAAATGAACTCTAGACTGTGGAGCCCTCACTGCGGCCCGGCACCCTCTGGACATGCGCTTATTGTCAATGTAATTAACGTGTCTTCAGATGCTCTGCCTCGGAGCAGGTTCGGTGGCCGACCTGTTTAACAAACACTGTGCCCTGCCTTCCCAGTAGCTTTGTGAGGTTCATCAGGAGCCAGTCCCGGATTCCTCACACAGTCCTCCAAGGGTTTTGCTTCGCTGTCCCCTCCCTCATTCCCCATTCCCTTTGTCTCTCCCAAAGTTGGAAGACTTCCACTGAATTGTGGGACACGGTTTTGTCATGAAATGGTGATACCCACTGTCTCTTTCAATACAGCTATTTGTAAACATTCACCCCCCTTTCTCTCTCCCAGTACTGCATTGTATCCCATTGGGTTGTTCCTAGGAACCATTGTCGGTTAATATTTCAGGGTAATTCTGTATTAGTGATACGCTCTCCATAGAGTCGGGAGCAATCAGCTTTCCGTTTTGGCTGTACATTTTCACAGCGTCTTAACTTCCCCGCCCCTTGTGGTTTCCAGTCGAATCGTGAGAAACTCCACGACCTGATGGACACTCTGCCTCACGGTGCAGCCCTCACGGCAGAGCCAGCCTCAGAAATCACACCACACACCCGCTGTGGCCGCGTTCAGGAGAGGTGAACAAATCTATTTTCCATCCTAAAAGTACCCACGAAGGGGTAAATGTTAAAAAGATCAGTTCTATAATAAGTGGAAATGTTTGACATCTGGTTAGTGGGAGGGGATGAAAGTCAGAAAAAAATAGACACGACATGATTCTGAATTCTTACAAGCTTTCAATATTTTAAACCTAGCATAATGCCATTTTTCCCTTCTCTCTGAATTTCTATTACTCTCTGCACTTTTTATTCCTTAAATCCTTTAATTATAGCACTGGACCAGCTGCAGCAGTGCGGGCTGCCACTGTGGTTGGCTAGGACCCTTGGACTCTCAGTTTCCTACCATCCGCTGGGCCCTGGTGGGGGCGGACTTGCCTCCGAGTCTTTAGAGAGGAAGGATGGGCACCAGGACGCCCTTGCGGTTGGGTGCAGGCATGGCCTAGACTGGGCTCAGGTTGTGTAGTAACTGGGTTGCACATGAACTTGGCCACTTGCCTTTTTGGTGAGAGGCGGAGGGGGAGAGGCTCCAACCAATCCTCACACCCTCCACAGCCATGAAGCCTGGACCACGGGCACTAGTACTGATGCCTCCACCGCCATGGATTCAGGAGCCGCCATGGCACCCGCCTGTTGGCTGTGCTGGACACTGCTGGGCTGTGGCTTCCGCAGCGTTTACCTGGAGGGCGAACCCCCAAGGAAGCCGCCTTGCCTGCATGGAAGCTGCAGGGTCTGTTTTCTGGGGATGCTCATTAAAACCACAGACTGAACCCCCGCTAAAAAGACATTTCTAAATTCCTCCTCAACTGTTACTGCTAAAACATAAGGATGAAAAAAAACATTGAGAGGATGTAGAAAAATTTATAGCAGGCAAAATTAATTTTACAACTTACTGTAGTTCCATTAAAGACAGATAAGATACCTTTTAGTGAAGAAAGGAGCATAATCAGGAATGAAGTAGCTGTCTATGCATGATGACGAAAGAATGGACTCATCAGGGAGTTTGAATAATTCTTAGGTCATACGCACCTAAAAAAATCTTCAAAATATCTCCATCAAACGTGGCTGAACCAAAACAAAGAGACCAATCCCCAATCAGAGTTGGAGACTCCCAGTCCCCTTTTAATTGTTGATACATTAAGCAGAAAGAAATATTAAAATAGGCATAATTTGAACACACAACTAACATAAATTTCCAATAGCAACTTAAAAACTTGAAAGAAGTCCAAATGTTCTTTGATTAGGTTTGAATTCACACCTTGTGAAAAAAAATCACTTTATGGAATATCGTGTGGCTGTGATAATGAACAAATTACAGCTTTACGCAGCAGCATGATGGGTCAAAGACACACAGCCTTGGGTGGGAAAAGCAAGCGGCAGACCACACAGAAAACCATCCTGCATTACAGACTTCCAGATCCAGGGATAGACACACGTGTGATGGACACTATTTGAAAAAGCGAAGGAGCGACAAACCCACATTCACAGTATTGGTTACCTTTGGGGGCTGGAAGGTGGGCGGGGTCTGGAGGGAAGCACAGACAGTCTCAGTGACAGTCCACCTCCTGAGCTGGCTGGAGGGCTCATGGCTGTTTTGTTGTGTTTTTTAATTCTCACTCCAGGATATGTTTAAAGAAAGCGGAAGAGGGAAAGGGAAGGAGGAGGGAGAGAGAGAGGGGGAGACAAACACCGATGTGAGAAAAAAATATTAATCAGCTACCTCCTGCTCACATCCCAACTGGGATCAAACCCAAACCCCACCCACGCATGTGCCCTGACCGGGAATCGAACCCGCAACCTTTAGATGTGGGGACAATGCCCCAATCAACTGAGCCACCCAGCCAGGTGATTCATGCTTCATGATTTTATATATGAAATGTCCCTATTGATATATATATAGATATCAAATTTATAAATATATATCAATTTTATAGATCATAAATAATAAAATAAATAAGGTATAAAAGTTGGTGTATAATATTATGTCTTTTGAGTACAGCAAAGTGCATCATTAGTTACTGATAAACTTATTTAGGAAAATGAGTTTCAACAATTTCATTACCAAGTTTTATTCACTGTAGGTCTTGAGTTTACGTTTGTTTAATAGTGTATGAGAAAAAACCACAAGCTACTATTCTGAGCCTCCTGGATTTCAACCCCGTTAGTCCTTTTTAAAATGATCAACTCTGATTCAGCTTAACTGTCTGCTTTCCAATTCACTTCCCTATTTTTTTCAGTATAGGAGGGCTGTAGAGTATGTCTAGGAAAGTTGGGCATATTTCGTTTATTTGGGTTCAGTGGTCTGGCTCTTAACTTTGAAACTACCATTGAACATGTAAAATTTTCTTAATGTGGAGGAATACCAGCATTGCTAATATTTAACTATTCTTTCTCGAATGACTTGTGCTCTCCATATAGTGCCGTGTGTGCAAGCCACTGGGGTAGTCCGTGCCCACAGCTGCAGTGTGAGGGATGAGCTTAGAACCCAGAATGACTATGTTATGCACACTTGCACCAAGTATATCACTACTCCAATCAGACCTTGAACTTGTTCACTTATTAGCTGTGGGACCTTGGTAGGTTACCTATTATCTTTGGCTGCATTTTCTGCATCCTAAACATGGCGGTCATTTTACTGCCCAATTCAGAGATTCATTGTGAAGCTACAATAAGTGAATACACGTGAAGTTCACGGCACAGTGTGCTCCTTGCTCTTTGGAAACACTCAGTAACTGTTAGCTGTTGTCATTATCATAACGATGGTTGGGGCAGTGCTTACCACGGGGGCCGTTGTTTTATGTGGCTTTTCAGATGAGGAGTCTCGATGAAAAGATCCCGTTTATATGTGGGGAGATGAGACACAGAGAAGTAACAACGGTATCCTTTCCAGCTGCAAGGAACCTAAGACCCAACCGAAAGTGGCATAAATGGTAAGGAAAGTTGATGAGGTCAAGGTCAGGAATTCTTTTCTCAGGGTGCGGCACTGCGGTGTGGCTCTGAATCTCTCTTCTCTGCCACACTCAGACCCTTCTGTTTTCTCCCCGGCTCCGCAGGGTGACCCCAGCCACTGCCGGTTGCTCCTCCCATGGACGGATGTTCAAAAGTTGGCAGAGGAGGCATCTTGCTGTGTGAAGAGTAGGGAAGAGTCTTCCCAGAAGATTCTGTCTCGTTCTCCTGCACATTTGCCTCGCAGGCCCCTGGAGGCCGTGGGGTGGAAGGCAGCTCAGGTAGGTAAGTGACAGCGTGCGTCACATGGAGGGTGGCAAGCAGGTGTTGGAAGCAGCCTTGAAAAGGTTAGTCAATAAATAAATATTTCCTGTCCAATATCTGGCTCAGAGACCCATTCTATGAATATTTGAAGACAATGCCTCCCCGAAAAGATGCCAGCAAGAAGAGAAATAATTGACCATTTTTATTAAGAAGTAAAAAGACCAGTGGGGACACAGAACTGAATGAAATAAGATACATGTGCATACTTATAAAGTAGTATCACGTGATTTGTGGATAAGCAAATGCCCTTATCTATACATATCTTCTCTTTACCCTTAATTATATTCCCCTCCAGGGAAATCCACTCATTTGTTTTCAGTGTCGGCATTGACCACGTGGTGTGGAGGAGTTCCTTTTTGTGGTTGTTACCGGGACACTAATATTTGAAAAATAAATGGGGGGCCTGAAAAAAGGTACGCAATTGGCAATGCTAAGGGGAAAATTATAATGGTAGGGTAAGCACGTGTATTCTCCTATGTCCTTAGGCTTACTGACAAGTGACAAGCCTAAAACCCTTCCACCAACAAGAAAATAGATCATACTTTATTTCAAAGCCTTCGCTGAAGCTATAAAGTAGCACTGTGCACATTTTTGAATTTTGAAAATACTGATGACTTATACCTATGTTGTGTTGAATCAAAACAGTCATCAAGAGAGAAAGCAGTAACTATTTAATGGATTCGTGACCATTAGGCCTATTATTTTTAACTTGTTTCCATTATAGATAAAAGGAATATTGCAAAAACGTTCGCAGCCATGTTTTGTTTTTTCACTGTGTGTGTGAGCGGGGGAGGGGTGTTGCTAGAGACACCATGCTTCAAAAAGACTGTGACCTCGTAAAAGTTGTAACACTGACAGCAGCCTTACACATTATCTCGTCCTACCTCCTGATTCTACTCACGAGGCCCAGGCAGAGGGGAGGGTAAGGGACTCGCCTCGTCCCTGCAGCTGGCCGCTGCTCATGGCCCGGCTCTGGGTTTCTATCTTTCCACTCCCTCCTCTAAGGTATTAATGTACTTTTTTTTCCTCTTCCACTCTTGGAATACATAGCACCCTAAAGTTTAAAGCAGGCAAATGATACATTTTACTTCCATTGAAAACAACCCTGTCCGAAATAAAACCTGGAGAGAGAAATTGTGTTTTAAGTCAGCTGAGCATTTTCCCCCAGGTTTATTGGGGTATGATTAATTGGCAAATAAAAATGGGATACATTTAAAGTGGAAATATGATGGTTTGATGTACAGTTGTCTCTTTGTATTGGGGGGACTGGTGGGTGCAGAACCCCTTGCAGTACCAACATCAACGACGCTCAGGTGTCTCAGGTAGGACAGCACTGTACCTGCGGCGTGGGACCTGTTCGTGCAGAGGTAGCTGCCAGGGCGCATGCATGTCGCTGCGCCGGTGCGGTCTCAGCGGAAGGCACTGCACACGGCAAATTCAAGTTTTGCTTTTGAAAGTTCCTGGGATTTATTTGTTCAAATATTTTTGACCAACCCTTGAATAAATGTGTAGATGCAAGACGCAGATATGCAGGGCAGACCGTACGCACACACTAGGAAGCAGCTACTGCAGTCAAGCTAATGAACATTTCCCATCCCACAGAGTAGATGTTGGGGTGGGTTGCTGGTTTGTTTGTTTGTTGTAGTGAAAACAAGATCCATGAGCCAACTGGAAGCACACACCATGCAGTGTTATTACCCATAGTCACTATCTGGACATGAGATGCTGAGAACTTACTCAACTCACAGCGTAAAGTGTGCATCCTTGACCGACCTCTCCCCCTTTTCCCAGGGCCCAACCTCCTCTCTGCTTCTATGCGTTTGGCTTTCTCAGATTCCGCATTTCAGCTGTGCTTTTTGATGCGCTTGAAGTTGCATTCCAGGGTCTGAGGCAGCTGCGCATCTGATAGCTGGGCGGTCCGAACACCAGCCTCGCTCCTCACACACCATTACGCCATCCCCACTGTCACCCAACAGAACAGTTAATCCCACAGAAGAACCACTGCAGGGGTGGTAGAAGAACAGCAGAACAGAGCTCGTGGTTCCAGATCCTCCCCCCAAAGTGTGTCCTGTCCTGGCAGGACAACGGGTCTGGCTGGGGGCTTTCATCCCCAGTCCTGGACCCTCCTCCCTCACCCCAACGGCAATGCCCTCAGGGGGCTGTGGCCCCACGTCACCCTCGGAGTGGGCCTCCCTAGGGTTTGTGTCCCTTGAGTCACAGTCCGTTTGATAGAAACACACCCTTTAGGTAATTTTTTCTGGTCCTCATTACTGTTGGAGTCCATTTTCTGTGTGAGATCAGCCAGCTGTTTTCCGCTCAGAGAGCCCTTCCTGCAGTAAACATTGGCTGAGAACTTGGCGTGGTCCTCCATTCTAGGCAGCTCCGGGGATGCTCTGGGCAGCAAGGAAGAGGCCGTTTCTTTCCTTGCAGAGCAGTTAGTCCAGCAGGGAAGACGAGCGTTGGCTGACCTAACCCAGCAGGCTCTTCGCTCCCACCCGGGGGTGGGGGGGGTTCAGAGAATGACAGGAGGACGTGGCAGAAACACGAACCTGACCTCCGAGCAAGGTTACTCCTCCCCTGGACCCTGGGCACCGGGCAGGACGGTCACACGCAAAATGGGCCGATTTCGTTCTTCTTGTGTTTGGTAACCAGTCTTTAGTTTTTTCAACAAATGGATTTAAAAGGAAATTTTAAAATCTAGACGCCTTTCTTCTGGAAACCTCGCTTTAACTCCTTTTTTCCTCTACATTTCTGTACTTCCTGGAATGAGTCTTGATATTTGATTTCAGTTTCCTCTGTGGCTGTGGTTTTTCATTGACTCCCATCTTAGAATCATGTAGGGAGGTACCGACACCTGGACACTCATCCTCCTGAAGCCTCACCTCTGGGTCCGAGAGGAGAGGGAGGAGAACCCACATTTTCGTACTTAGCCAGTTCCCTTCACATGCACGACAATTTAACCCATCGTTGAGAGTATCCCATTCTCTTCCCATTGCCTCAAAAAAGGGGTATGTGTGTATTTTCATGGTAAAACTATCCTCACCTATCCAAGTGCCCAAAACTCACCTCATTCCCTATTTTATTGCCCAAGGCACTATGTTGAGGTGTAAGCATTTCCTGGGACTAGAATGACACACGCCTGGAGCAGTCCCTGGTTATTGGGACACTCGTCCTCGGGAGACGTAGGCGTTGGGAAGGTCGGTTTTCAAAATTCCTGCTTAACCTCTCCAAAGTTATGTATTTTTACCTTGGGAAACAAAATCACAGTTACTGTAAGTGACTACCCTCTGGCCAGGTCAGAAAATTGGGGCAAAGTCTCATCGAAGTACCCTAGAGTTTCTGACCCAAGAATCCATGTTCTACCAACTAAGTCATTTTCAGTGGCAAGGTTTATTGCACAAAACTATGAGTTTGGGTAGGAGAAGCCTGCTACATAGAAGACACCTAATGAAAATTCAGTGGCTTCAGGAAGAGTCAAGTTTTGGTCTCCCTCAAGGTCATAGTCCAAGATGAATGGTCCACACTGAATGTTGACTCTGCTCCACATAGTTTTGAAGTGACAATGGTCCTTTTGCCATGTACTCCTCTGTTCTCTAGAACATTCTGCCCATCTGCATGGTAAATCAGGTGATCGCGGGCTGCAGCCCATGGGAAGGAGAGTGAGCGTGCGGAGAAAGGCCGACAAGGGTGCACATTGCTTCCCGTCACAGCCCGGAAGTGACAACCTGCCCCGGGGCCACACATCACTGCGAGGGGGGTTCCTCAGTGTCACCCCGACTGGGAGCTGCACAGCCAGCCCCCACGGTGTTAGGAGGGAGGAGTGAAGGACGGCCACAGGCGCCCAGCAAGCCGTCTCCCCAACTCCACTTCGGAAATACCAAAGGGCCTTGCTTTTGCCCCAAAAGAAATGACTGATCCCTCCAAAAAAGGGCACATATTTCTTTCACGAGCCCAGGACTTTATTAATTTAATAAGCAGCGAGGCACATTCCCTTTTTGAAAATACATCTGTAACTTTGTTCTATTGCTACTTAATGAACTGTCCCAAACCTTGGTGGCCTAACTCAGGGAGCAGCCGGCTTTTCCGTGAAGGGGGAGATGGTAGATATTTTAGGTGGAGCAGGCCCTGCGGTCTCCGTGGCAATGACCTGCCTCTGCCTTTGTGATGAGAAAGTGGCCATGGACAATCTGTAAACAAAGGATCATGGCCGTGATTCAATAAACCTCTATTTTCAAAGGCACGTGGTGTTCTGGGTTTGGCCCCTGGGCTGTAGTTTGGCTGACCTCCAGCCTAAAGCAACAGCTATTCTAGTTTTGCTGGTGGTTTTGTGGGGTGATCAGCTGGTCGTCCAGTTGCAGATGGGTTGCCTGAGGCGGAATCCTCTAGAATGGCCTCTCTTGTGTGCCTGGTGTTTGGCAGAGTGGTGGGTGCAGGGGGGCTCAGATGGGTGGCTGTCCCGCACCCCACTCGGTCTCTCGTTCTCCTTGAAGCTGGGCTCGAGCTTCTTCACACGGTGGCCTCAGGGCAGCAGAGACAGCGGGCCCTGGTGTGCCCACCTCAGCCTGTGTCCTTTTTGCGAGCATCCTGCTGGCTACAGCCCGGATTGAAGAGGTAGAGGAACTCCAGCTCTTGATGGGAGAACAGCAAAGTCACACTGCAGAGGTGTGTGCCTAGGGGGGCAGGAGGAAGTATTCCAGTCCCCTTCATAAACCGGCTTCCACGAAGTCTTTGAAGTAATAAAGGACATTGCAATTCAACTGCAGTAGTTTCCTTTCCTACTATACAGTTACTTAAATACGTTTAGAAGTATTTTTAACAATAAAATGATCTTTTACTTTGGGAGCCGTGGCGGAAAATGTGTATGTATAACTTACTTTAAAACACTATAAAGAATGATATTCCAAGGGCATGGACGTGACACAAGAATCTTAGGAATAAATAACCCACATCGAGGA